AATTATTTTCTTTTAGATTAAGAAGCAGAAAACCCTTTTGATTATCAGGATAACCTAAGAAAATGCTAGGAATAGACCTAGGTTGTAATTTGTCGTTAATCCTTAAATCAGTAGCATAAGCAAGAGACCCAAAAGTTCTCAGATTGCTGAAATCCGGTTTACTCCCATAAATTCGTTCATAGGGCGTCTGATAATCAATTATCTTAGAAGGAACCCTATTTATGATATAAACAGCCATTTTAACACACTCTCCCTAGTACTTAATAGGAATTCCAAATTGCAAAATAAGACTCCTAGTAACCTGCATAATAGTCTTATGTTTCCTCTCAACTACCCCATTTTGTTCTGGAGTATATGGACAGGTTGTTTGATGTACTATGCCCCTTTGTTGAAAATTAGTTCTTAATTGACTGTTGGTAAATTCAGTACCATTATCGCTCCTAATCTTTTTCACAGTGAAAGAAAATTGTGTTGAAACATAGGCCACAAAATTTCTAATGTGAGATTCAGCCTCATTCTTGTGTCTCATTAAAAAAATCCAAGTTCCCCTTGAAAAATCATCTACCAAGGTTAGAAAAAATTGAAAACCTTGATGTGTGGGGTTCCTATATGGGCCCCAGACATCAACATGAATTAAATCAAAATACCTTTTAGATTTGATGACACTAGAATTAAAGGGAAACTTAGTCTGTTTAGACTGAATACAAATATCACAAGAATGGAAAGTTTTATTCAGTTCGGAACCATCAGTACATATATGATCCAAATGCTTAATCACAAATAAAGGTGCATGTCCTAGCCTTCTATGCCATAACTGGATATCACAATCTTTCTTCAATATTTTCTCTTTTTGAATAACATTTGCCGAGACACTATTGTTGGTGACTTTTAGCACATATAATCCCTTATACTCTCTACCAGTCATCCCAATCCTCTCATCCTGAAGGCCCTGCAGTATACAGAGATCAGGAAAGAAGGCTGGCATGCAATTGTTTTCCTTTGTAAATCTAGAGATAGATATGAGGTTGAATTCCAAATGGGGGGCATACAGAACATCACGGATGACAATATTATCAGCTATAGTAATGGAATCAGTGTGAGTGACAGTCAACCTATCCCCATTTGGTCTTTTAATTGAATTAATTGGTCCATTATACGATTTATAATCATCGAATAATTCCAGTTTACCAGCCATATGAGTAGTGGCCCCAGAATCCAGTATCCAGTGTGTGTGAATTTGAACATTAGAAGTAGGAGAGGTCAAACCTGTACCCGTTAAAGCATGCACTGTAGGTTCAGTGTCTTTCTTCAACAATTCCAGAATCTTTTGATATTGTTCCTGCGTGAATGTTGGGGCGACCGTCGTTGCAGCATGCCCTTGAGGATCAATGTCCTTGATTGGGTCAACTCCCCCTTGCTGAAAATCCCTCTGCGGTCTCCCTCTATTGCCTTTGAAGGTCATCGGATAACCAACAATCTGATAACAATTCTCTTTGAGGTGGCCTTTCTTGTGACAGTGGGAATGTTCTCGTCACCGTAGGATATGGAATGCTGGGTTTCATCTTGGACGATCATGGCATACGCCTCATTAACAGAGAGGAGAGGGGACATGAGCAATATCTGGCCCCTTGCTGGTGTAAAATTTTTGTTAAGTCCCATTAGGAATTGCAGAAGCTTCTGCTCCTGAATAGCGTCTGAGTAGGCTTTAGCTGTGGCACAATTGCAAGACAGAATCGCGACAAGGGCCGCCTGCTCCTCCCATAGTTCTTTCAGTTTTGAAAAATAGATTGTGACCGAATTCGAACCTTGACGGAGGGAATTGATTTCATGGTGCAGTGCGAAGATTCTCGATCCACTTTTCTTGTCGAATCGCTCCTTCAGTTCAACCCAGACACCGTGTGTATCTTGGAAGTAAATGATTCCACTGGCCAATTCCTTAGAAATGGAGTTGATTAGCCAAGAAAGAACCACGGCATTGCATCTCTCCCACTGCGGTTGTAGGCTTGCTTCTTGGTCGGCCTTCTTGCAAGAACCGTCGACAAAGCCAAGTTTATGTTTGCCTAAGAGCGTGATTCTCATTGCTCAGGACCAGACGGTGTAGTTTTCGGTACTGGTGAGGATATGTGGAATGATGGCCATTCCCTGAGTGTTCGATGGATGCAGGAACAGAGGATGCGAGAAAGGGATACTCTCCACTGCAATCTTTTCTTCTCCCATGGAGGTTGGTGCGTAGGGTTTCTATGTGAGATTTGGGTGAGTTGGTTTCGATGGGCTCTTCCGGCAATCCTAGACGGCGACCTGTAGCTCTTATGCCATGTTGAATGGGATGCCCTAACTCAACACCCCAAAACGAACAGTTCTGAACTCACAAAACTGGATACTTCATTGAATTGAAAACGAATTACACACACATTGGGCCTATTTGGACCCAATATTTATAGACTAACCGCAGGAGCTGTACATAACCGTAAACTATACAAAAACACAAAACTAATGGGCTGTACATTTTGGGCCCATATCATACAGAAGCACTGAACACATCTATCGTATACACATATATGTATTTCAACAACGGGTCACGAATGGAGATGGAGAGGGACTGATGCGAGGAGAGGCAGGGGCTAAAGTTTCGGCTGGTTCAGGGAGGATGAGAGGGGGAGAGTGGGTTTCAAACGGACGTCAGGTGGGTGTTCGATTACGGTGGTGAAATTGATCTAATTTAAACTTTAGACAGATTAGAGTCTGTTACAGTGCATCCACCTCAAACAGTGGCAGATCTCTTTCAGCATTCTTCCTCCAGAATACAACCAGTTTAATGGAATAAGAAGCTAATCCTTGAAGTTTATCCTCCATCGTTTGCTTTTAAGATACTCAGCATTCCCCTCTCATTTCTCAGTCCTCCCGATAAGTTGACATGGAAGGGAAATGCTTCTGGTCAGTACCTTGTCAAAGATGGGTTTAAATTTTTACTTTGCAGAGAATTCTAGCTCTCAGCCGGAGATATTTTGGCAGTTTCTTTGGTCTCTTTCATTACCGCCTAAATGTTTATTGTTCATCTGGAAACTTCTTCATGAGGCAATCCCCTGTAGTGATATACTGGTTAAACATCATCTAAATACCTCATCTCTATGTGCTTTTGGGTGCTAGACTCAGGAATCTTTAGAACATCTCTTTCTCTCTTGCCCTTTTACAAAGGCAATCTGGTTTGGAGCATTATCAATTAAACTCGACAGCCAGTCTTTCCAGGACTTTGGAACATGGTTAATGAGGGTTCTCGTAGATTTGAAATCGGATGGTTTGGTTCAAACTGCTCTTCAGATCATTATTCTAATTAATATGCTATGGAAACCCAGGAATGATGCAACCTATGGAGCAAAAAAAATTGCCTCCGAGTTCTGTTATAGAGTAAGTTAAAAGCATTTCCTCGTTCAACGATATGCCTTTCATACATGTGCGCACAACTGATCAAATCCATCATATATCGAAAATGGGCTACTATCCTTTTTTTTTTTTTTTGCAGGAGACGGCTGGGCAATCATCATGTTAAAAAAGAAAGAAAAACCAGTTTCCACCTGCATAACTTGGATTGGATTTAAAGGACAATCTTTGCAAAAATTCATCTGGAAGAATGTCCCCAATGCAGACACTAGCAATTTCTGGATTTTGTTCTTCAGAGCTGCACTTTTATGGATCATTAATTCTTCTCTGTCGGATGAGGCACAGAACCTTCGGTTGCAATTCTTTTGTTTGAAGACTTCTTTTTATTCAGGGGCTTTCAGGCAATTCTTCAGCTATATCAAGTGATATTGCTCTTCTTCTTAGGAAATTTAGTATTGTTAATTTCTTTGCCGCAGAAGACACTTCTCTCCTCAACTCATCACCCCTCTCATCTTGCCCGGTCTCTTATGGTTGTTTACATTAAAGCTTATGATTTTTAATGCATTTTGATCTTTTAACAAAAAAGAAATGTTAGGGGCAAAATTGGCACCCCAAAATATTTTAAAGTTTTGGATACACCTGAAAAAATATTTTAAGATGCTTAATATATTTTAACCCATTAAAACATTTTATAAATCACAAATGAGAATTGAGTTTGTCACAGTATAATGAATCAAGGTTCGAATCCTCGAGGGTATCCACATTTAGTGTTAAGAAAAAATGAATAGAAAAACAGATTTTTCCTTGTTTGATGATGCTAGAGTCTTATTTCATAGGAATCGGATGGTTGTACTGTTCATACTCGTAGGGAGTTTATCCCTACTGCTAATCACTTAGCTAAACTCTCTTATTTCATGGAGGATAACTTTTGTATTCTAGATCAACCATCTTTAATTGTTGAGGGAGAGGTTGATAGAGGAAACTAAGGCCCTGTTTAAAACAGTTTATAAGTAGCTTTTCAATTGTGATTTATGCGATACGATGTAAGCGTGTGATATGAGTTTTATCTCAACTTATTTGGAATGTGCCTATAAGTGGCCCTAAGTCTTGTTATTTTATTTGTTATTTTGTAAACAACTCAGTCTTTAATTTTAAAAAAAAAAAAAGAAAAAAGAAAAAAGATGAGAAGAAAAAATAGTGTGGGTCCCATGTATTTTTCTCTCCAAATTTGCTCCACAACAGCGTAGAGCTTCTGGGGAGGAAATCACATTTTACAGAATTATCTTCCCTGGCCCACGGTTCGCTTCACGCCTTCACCCTTTCCTTAGCCCAGAGTCCTCAGTTGCAACGTCAGGCTCACCGACCATTTGTCTCTTTTTTATTATGATTAATTATCATATAACATATAGTTATAATAATTATTATATTATAATTATAAATTAGAAATGAAATAAAAATAAATTAATTTTTTTAAAAATTATTTTAATTTTAATTAATTAGGTATAATTATTATTATTTTGATTTCACAATGGACGAACCTTTAGATTTAGACATTGCTATAAAAAACGTGATGTTTGCTAGGAACTTGGGCAGTATCTTGAGTGTAGAGAGAGAAGCAAAAAATGCAAGGGTCATCTAAGCACCGAAATATAGTTCAGAGTTGGAGCGTGGAAGACGTGAGTACAGACTCCGACGAGTTCTTGCCATCAATTGGAAGCTTACATGATGTTTTGCATGAGAAGAAACCCCCCTCGTTCCTGAAGTGGGGTGTCTGTTATAAGATAGCTACTGGCATTGCTCGAGGTTTGGCATATCTCCATGATTGTGATCCTCCCGTAGTGCACTGTGCCATCACGCCAAAAAATATATTTCTGGATTCTGATATGGAGCCTCGTATTGCTGATTTTGGTGCTGCCAAACTTTTATTTCAATCTTTTACAACGCCATCCTCATCTATCCTAGGCACACCAGGTACTTATTATGAACGTTCTCTCTCTTTTCCATTTCCAAATGCTTATATAAAATACTCCTCCGGTCCTTAATATAGGACCCAATTGTTGAGTTGGTTTTGGTCCTAAATATAAGACCCATTTCTTATATTTATCAATTTTCTCTAAATTACCCCTATAGATATTCTCTAAACCATTATTAAGTAGAAGAGGAAGAAAGGTATTAAGAAAGATGATCATGGTGTTTTAGGAAAAACATGTCACATTTCTTATAATTAACTAACTTACCTAACTTCCTTAATCTAATCAAATTAGTCAAATGAATCTTATATTAAGGACCGGAGGAGTAACATCTTTCCATATATCGGCCAGGGACCAAAAAGCTGTATGCAACAACAATCACTAGGGAGTTTGATGTGTACAGTTATGGGATTGTTTTGCTTCAGCTGACAACCAGAAAGAAGGCAATAGACTCATCGTTTATGGGGGGAACTGAGATAGGGGTTTGGGTCAGAAGTCTGTGGGAGGAGACAGGAGATATTCTTAAAATTGTTAATTCAAGCCTTGCAGAGGAGGTTTTGAAATCAAATTCCAATGTACTCAAACAGGTCACTGAAGTGCTTTCCTTGGCTTTGAGCTGCACCGAGGTGGATCGACAAATGAGACCCACTATGAATGATGTTATCAATAAATTAGTCGGTTTTGAATTCAAATTCAAAAGTACGAAGGAATTAACAGAGTCTGAAAATAAAAAGAACGAAAAAAAAAAAGACATGGATGGCTATCTCAAGATGTGAAAAGCTTCCAAGTTCCAAACTACTTAATGCGCAATTGATTCACACATGCACTAGGATTGGTGAGATAACATTGCTTGTATATATAGGTTGGGACTTGATATGTCTGCTTCTATGATGGGGAATGTTTTGTGCCTTTTTCTTGACTTCTTAGGAGATATTCAAAGAACCATTTTGGGAAAAGAAAGGGACTACCCACCATGACCTATCAGTAGCTTGAAAGGGATATCTCTGTTATTTATGCTCTTGCAACATCACTACATAACAGGGCAAATCTTTGTTGAGCAGAGGATCTAAATTACTCTGTTTTATTATGACGACAGTCTCGGTAGTTTTGGTGACTAGTTCAAAGTTCTTGTATGCTCTATGCCTTCTCGTTGGAAATTTTCTGTCCTTGTCTGTCAGAAATGCTAATTTAAGCTCCTTTGATAACAATAGGAATATTTTTTTCCCGTTTATAATGTTGTTTCTCTCATTGTTCAATAAATATATTGTTTTTTTAGGGGAAAAAATAATTTTTTATCCATAAAATCACTTGTTTTGTTTTATTTTTAATTTCAAAAGAATATATTTTTTGTTATTGTACCTTTCTGATCCTTATTCTAAAGTTAGGCATCTAAGAATCATGTGAAGTATCCTTGGCCATTTCAGAGTTAGTTTTCACTCTATGTTTTGCTGTTCGTTTATTTTGGCTAGATAAAATTTAGGGGGAAATAATCCAATGGATAGAATTAGGGTTCATTTGGTACATAAAATCTTAGCTGGGAGAAAAGAAAGAAAGATAAAGAACAAATAAAACAAATAGGGGAAATCACGAGATATTTAACAAATACATGAATGGTGGATAAAGTAATACTCATCCGGTCCTAATTATAAGACCCAATTGACTTATTTGAGGAGATTAAGAAAGTAAGTTAAGTTGGTTATTTATAATAAATAAGTGTTGTTATTTCTAAAATATCTTTGCTAATTAAGTATATTGGCTAAAACTATCATTATTAGAAGGATTATCTTGGAAAAAAATGCATAAATATAAGAGAGAAAATGGATTGGGTCTTATAATTAGGACCAAATAAAAAGTCAAATTGGGTCTTATAATAAGGACCGGAGGAGTAGCTATTTGCAGTTGTACAAGGACCCAAGAAATATGCATGCACCCCCAACGCACGTGTATATTTTCTTTATATACTATCTCTGATATTTAATAAATTATCTCAAAGTGTTTATATCTATCTTTTCTCCAAATTAATCCACCACTCTTATAAATTAATATATAATTTTTGAATCAACCAGTACAAAAAAAAAAAAAAAAAAGGGTCTCCAACTACGCAAGGACACGGGATGGGGAAAATTGGTAATATATTGATCAGTGGGGTAAGGGCAGCCCTATTAGAAGACTGGGATGTCACTTTAAAATTTTCAGATTGAGGAAGGCAAATGGAGAGACATTGACAGGGATATCTATTTTAATCCACATCAACCAAGTAGTCAACAATCCAATGTGAAAGCTTCCTCTTTTCCACGTCAGTCACTATAGTAGGGACCGTCTGTGTGAACTCTGGGTTCTACTTATTATGACCAGCTAAACTCCGAAGAGTCTGTTTGACTTGGAGAAAAAGAAACTAAGTGACTTATTAGAGAAATCTTGTTTATCAAGGGATGGGCACGGGAGGGATTTTAATAGGTGAGATTTGAGAGGGGAGGTGAGAGGAGGGAAGATAATTTTTTTTTTTTTAAAACTAAAGCATAGGTATCCTCCTATTAGAGACAATCCTATTAGAGGTACTGTCGGGTACTAAATGTGAGTATCTTTTCCAATGGGAATTTAAACCTTAGTTCATTATGTTTTAATATTATCTTGTTTGAATTAATTAGAGAGGAGGGGAGGGATTTGATGTCATCTTCTTTGGTTAGGGGGAGAGGGGAGAGAAAATATTTTTATATAGATAATTTCACTCTTATTCTACTTAAATTGTATTTTTCATACTCGTAAAATATTTAATAAATAAATTATAGTAATATTTAATATATAAAATTATAATTTTATAATTATTAAATTGGTCAAATTCATCTCTTCTTTCTCTCATAAAAGTCAAGTACCAAACGCTACATGCATAAGAAAACTCTCTCTATCTCTTGAACTTATTTTCGTGAACAAAATTTTCAATTTTTTTTATTTACTCTTTTGATTTGTTTTATTATTAATCTCTTCCTTTGAGCCAAAAAAAAGGGGGAAAATGTATTAATCTCTCCCCCCGCAGGTTGAGGGCAATGGAGTTAGAGTATGGGCAGTGAGAACAGGCAGTAGGACAAAGGTAACTAAGAAAGGAATAGGATGGGTAATTTGGAAATAATAAAGATAATTATGGATATATGAGGTAGAACAGGACAAAATATTACACTTTTCCTCCAAATTCCCCCAACTTTAAGGTTCTATGCCTTTGGTTAAAAATTTTTACACCCTTGCTTGTTTAAATGTTGCTCCTCTGATCTTATTTATGGGGTATTTTTAGTATATTTTAATATATATTAAAAAAAATCTTAAACTGAATTAACTCTCTTTAAAATATGACAACTTTCCAATTCTATCTCTATTTAATAAATACATCTTTAAAAAAATAATTATCTATGCTATAATAAATGAATGACAAAACAATACATTCATGTTAAAAATTTAATTAGGTAACTTATAAATAAGACAAAAAAAAAAAATCTCTCTTTACCTTTTAAATAGGACCACAAGAGTATATTAGGATTTTTTGTGGGGAGTACAATCATTTTTCATTTATAGGTTAATGTAGTTATTACTTGATGATATTTTTATTTTTTTCCCATGTAAAATAGATTATACTTTTTTATCTTCAAAACTACTTTGTTTCTATTTCTCATATCATTCTAGCTATAAAAGACTGTATTGTAAAATTTATCTTTCATTTTATTTAGATAATAAAACACATACATATTCATGGGTGCATGCATGCGTGTGAGTATCTGTGTGCATTCCTCCCGCGAAAGTTCAAGGAAACAGGCTTGGCACCCTTCGATTGGTAGCTAGAATGATAAGCGTGGAAGATGGGGCATGTTGCAGAAACAAGAAAAAGAAATATCATTGATATAGAATCTCCCAAAAACAAGGGGGAACAAAGAGTGATGGATGAAAAGAAGACCCCAGCAACGATTTTACTCTGAAACCTGCTCTGCTCCGCATTTCATCACCTCTGCGATTACTTGCACTTGTTCTAAGCTGCAGCAAAGTAAGCACTTTTTGTTCTCCCTTAACCTTTGCTATCTCAGTCTCAATGAAGCTGCTATTATTTATCCTATGCTTTTCTCCTTCTTTCTATGGTACTTCTACCTTGAGTTTGGATGGGTTGACTCTATTATCACTACTGAAACGCTGGACTTCCGTGCCTCCTTCCTTAAATTCAAGATGGAAGTCCTCTGATTCTACCCCTTGTTCATGGCCAGGGATACAATGTGACCGTTACCAGAATGTGGTCTCTCTAAACCTCACCGCATCTCAGATTTTTGGTCACCTTGGGCCAGAAATTGGACAGCTGACTCACTTGCAGAAACTTTTGTTGGCCACAAATGGTTTCTCAGGTACAATACCCCCAGAGTTATGTAATTGTCGTCTGCTTGAGTATGTTGATCTTTCTGAGAATCATTTGTCAGGAAATATACCTTCAGAAATTGGTAATTGCAAATCTTTGAAGTCGTTACAATTATATTCCAATCAACTCGGAGGAGCCATTCCAAATGAATTGGGAAGCCTAAGTAAATTGGAGGACATTAAATTGTATTTCAACCACTTGACAGGTGAAATTCCACTTGCCATTTGGAAGATTCAGAGTCTTAAGCATATCCTTCTTCATAATAATAGCCTTTCAGGGAAATTACCTTCAGAGATGACAGAGCTCAAGCATCTGAAAAATATCTCATTGCTTGACAACCGATTCTCTGGACCAATTCCTCAAAGCCTGGGAATCAATAGCAGTTTAGTGAAGCTGGACATGATGAATAATAAGTTTACTGGTGGCATCCCCCCAAATCTTTGTTTTGGAAAGCAACTCCGCACACTGCTTTTAGGTCATAATCAATTTCAAGGGGGCATACCTCCAGATTTGGGAAGATGTGCAACTCTTGCAAGGTTGGATCTCAGTGACAATAATCTTTCTGGGCCTATTACTAAATTTGAAGGTAATAATGATCTCATGTACATGGACATGAGCAAGAACAACATCAGTGGAGAAATTCCATCTACTTTGGGAAGCTGCACAAATCTCATTGGTTTAATTCTGTCCACAAATAACATCACAGGGCTTATACCCTCAGAGTTAGGAAACCTTTTGAACCTTCAGGTTCTGAATCTTGCTCACAATAATCTAGTCGGTACTTTGCCGCTGCAACTGTCGTACTGTACCAAAATGTTTGCATTTGACGTGGGATTCAATTTTCTTAATGGTTCATTCCCATCAAGCATGAGGAGCTGGACAGTTATAGGCAGATTAATTTTAAGGGATAATCATTTCAGTGGGGTTGCCCCATTTTTCTTCTCAGATTATACCCAGCTTCTCGAATTACAACTTGGTGGAAATATGTTTGAAGGAGTAATTCCCGAATCAATTGGATCATTGATTAACTTATATGAGTTGAATCTGAGTTCTAATAAATTAACAGGTGTGATCCCTGGTACATTCAATAGCTTGTGGATGCTCGAAAGCCTGGATTTATCCCTGAACAATTTGACAGGAAGCATACAAGCTCTTGGCATATTTTTTTCATTAACAAAATTCAATATATCTTACAACTCATTTTTTGGTCCTTTACCAGAAGGGGTAACGGGATCTCCATCATCTTTCTTGGGAAATCCTGGCCTCTATGTTCGTTGTTCAACCTCGGATGTCTCGGGTTGTGAATACCAATTAGGATCAACTGGCCCCAAAGGCAGTAAAAAACCAATTTTATTTATAGTGCTTGTCATTTGCTTGTCATTTGTAATCTGCCTCTCATCTGTCACTCGCATCTGCTGGTTTATGCAAATATCTAATGGGGAGGTCAATGTTGACCATGAAGAACAAGAGGATTTGTTTTCAAACGATGAAGGATTTTCTAGAATTTTTAACCTACTAGATGCTACAGAACAGCTACATGATCAACATATAATTGGTGAAGGAGGGCAAGGAATTGTTTATAAAGCCGAACTTGATATTGGAGTTTTTGCTGTTAAGAAGGTTAAATTTGCACAAAGCAATAGGAGGAAACCAAACATGATCAGGGAAATTGAAATGACTAGGAAGATGAGGCATCAAAATGTGGCAAGATGCCTAGGCTCCCGGATTGGTAAGGAATATGGTCTAAACATTAGCAGGTACATGGAAAATGGAAGCCTTCATGATGTTTTACATGAAAATGTTCCGCTACCCTACTTAGCATGGAATGTCCGCTACAAAATTGCTATTGGAATTGCAAAAGGACTAGCATACCTCCATCATGATTGTGATCCACCCATATTGCACCGAGACATCAAACCAAAGAATATACTCCTTGATTCTGATATGCAACCTTGTATTACTGATTTTGGTATTTCGATTGCTTTGAATCAATCCTCTTCTACGGTGCGGCTACGGTCAACATATCATATAGGTACTCGTGGCTTCATGGCACCAGGTAATTGCTCTTTTTCTGCACTCAGTGGATTAATTTTCTATTTCTATCATGTTTAATAAAACTGGGATAGTTTTCATCCTATACGAAGAATATATCTAACCAGATGATGAATTAACAACAAAGGAAAGCAAATGAAAATAGATCAGAAGTATAATTTCTTCATAATTTAACATGCTTCCATTGCCTTATGACAGAGACTGCATGTGTGGTAGTGCCCAGCTGTGAGCTTGATGTATATAGCTATGGGGTAGTTTTGCTTGAGCTGATAACTAGAAAGAAAGTATTAGACTCCTCATTTTTGGAAGAGGAAACCACTTTGGTGGGTTGGTTTAAATCTGTATGGAGGAGAACGAATGAACTTGAAGAGATTGTTGATTCATCCCTTGTAAGGGAGCTTTCAGGTTTAGACGTAAAGGTGCAAGTCATCAAAGTGCTTTTGGTGGCTCTAATTTGTACTGAGACAGATCCAGGAAAGAGACTGAAAATGAGAGATGTCATCGAATTCTTTGAAACGCCCACTGATCCAGGTACGAGTTGTGTCCAAAGTGTCATATATATTCTCTAGTTTTTCAGCGATCAAGATTCCTTTCTGTTATATTTTTGATCCAGTTAGGTTTCTGCTCTCAACTGAACTGGTCATGAAACATGACTTCGTCTTATTTAAGGAATTGAAATCTTGGCTTGAAATTCAAGCTGTTGAAAGGGCTGTGGTCTTATGTTTGTCTAATTGGTACAGGAATTTTCATTCAGCATGACAGAGCGTTTCATCTAGGGGGTTCTCTTGCTGCTGCAGCAGCCTCTATATTTTTCCAGGTAAATTGATTTAGACAGGCAACAACTGCTCATAAGCCCATAATAAATTCACATTATTTGTCTTAATGTTACTGCTTGCAGATGAATTCAAAGTGTCCAATAAATACTTCCTCTTCAAATTAGTAGGGTTTTGGTGTGGGAGGATTATGTTGAAAATAGTTTTGCAAAACCAGCTTTACTCTTGAATAGCATTATTTTGAGAAGACCTTACAAGGAACAAAAAGAATAGGCTGAGCATAAGAGTCTGAGGTATTACCCTCATTAACTACACTAAATTCCAACATCATATTAATTTCTACCTTCTCACTACCCTTGTTAAATATGGGCATATATTGGAAAAAAATATTTAATGCTCATTGAAACTAGCATAGGGTCTTATAAAAAGGACCAAAAATTTCTTCTAGAAAGAGTCTCATAATAAAAACTGGAGGGAGTAATTGTTTTGGTAATACCAATTATGTTAGAACATCAAAAGCCATTGTTGAATGCTTTCTCTTTCTTTTACTCGTTCATCTTCTTCACTAACCATCCTTAAATTCTGAGTTGCTACCATTCTTCCTTTTTATTCTAAACGTTTTCTATGCTCCTATTTCCAATCTCCAAGGAGGAAGTTAAGATCACTGCCAACAAAGGTTCTTACCCAATTATTCACAAAATGATGGCGTGTAATGAAAAATTGAACAATTCAAATATTATTGGCAGAGGAGCTCATGGTATTGTCTATAAATATTCACTAGGAGCATCCCTTGTTTATGCTGTAAAGAAGGTTGCATTTGCTGGTAACGAAAGAAAGATTGTAAAGATAGCTAGAGAAATTGAAATCATTGCAAAGATTAGGCACCGAAATCTAGTCAGATTGCTGGACTTTTTGTTTAAAAAGGACTACTGTCTGATCTTGTACAATTACATGCCAAATGGAAACCTTCATGATGTTTTGCATGAAATGAATCCACTGCCATGCCTAGAGTGGAATGTTCGGTATAGGATTGCTGTTGGAATTGCTCATGGGTTGGCTTATCTCCATTACGATTGTCATCCTGCCATAGTGCACTGTGCCATCAAACCTAAAAATGTACTTCTGGATTCTGATATGGATCCCTTCATTGCTAATTTTGGTATTGCCAAGCTTTTGGATCAGTCTTCTTCAACACCATCTTTACCAGTTCTAGGAACACAAGGGTATATAACACCAGGTACTTATTTTACTCATGGTGAAGCTTCTCTTTCTCTTTCTTACTTCTGAACGCTTGCATAAAATAACATGTTCCTATTAAACCGTGGCAGAGAGTACACATACAACAGCAAATACTAGGGAGTTTGATGTTTACAGTTATGGGATAGTTTTGCTTCAGTTGATAACTAGAAAGAAGGCAGTAGATCCATCATTTATGAATGGAACTGAGATAGGAATGTGGGTCAGAACTCAATGGAGGGAAACAGGAGCCGTTAGTACAATTGTTGATTCAAGCCTTGCAAAGGAGGTTTTGAAGTCAGATGCACTTGGACGAGTTACCATAGTGCTTTTGCTGGCTTTGAGTTGCACAGAGAAGAATCCACACAAGAGACCCACAATGAGAGATGTTATCAAGCAGTTAGAAGATGCTAATCCAAGGACAAGGAGTAAAAAGCTTCCAAGTTCCAACGCCTTAAAGATTGATTCACATATGTGAGCATTGTGAGTTACTGAACTACATTGCTTCTTCACTGAAGCAGTGGAATAAGTTGCACGGCTATCTTCCAAAAGTTTAGGTGGCTATTATGCTGTAATTAACTCTTTCGATTTTGTAAAAGAAACTGAAGTTTTTAGTTGCCTTGCAAGCTGATGGATAGCTAATGGGCCAAGGGCAAGAACCAGTGACTATACAGTGACTAAACCCTTATTTTCTTTGTAGCTTTTCTGGTTGAAGCTACACTCTGCCAGATTCTTTCTGGTTTTATTATTCGCTTTAAGCTTGGGTTTCATCACAAGCAAATCTAGAATGCGAGTAGTTGAGGCAAAAAAAGCTTCAGAAATTTTTACTGATGGGATTTGGTAACATCACTTGTATGTTAAATCCGTACATGCACATGTATATTACTCGTCCGGTCCTTAACATAATACTTATTTAATTAATTTAATTAGATCAACAAAGTTAGGTAAGTTAGTTAATTATAAGAAATATGACATGTTTTTTTTAAAACACCATAATCATCTTTCTTAATATCCTTTATCCCTCTTTTATTTGATTGTAGTTGAGGGAGTATTCATAAAGGTAATTTAAAAATAAGTCTTATATTTAGGACTAAAATTAACTTATCAATTAGATTTTATATTAAGGACGAGAGGGGTAGTTTTGACTTGTGACATTCTGTGTTTGCTTTTATACTAAGGGATGTTTTGTGCTTGTTTAGAAAGGGTACCAACCGCCAACCCATGACTTGCGTAAAATAATTCCAAATCCAAGAGAAAGAGCTTATTCCAAAATACTAGCTTATTAGAAGGGAGAGAACTCTTTCAATTTATAAGCCACATTTCACTTTTGAGATTTCTCAATATGGAACTCATAATTTTGTTGTTCATGCCATTGCAATATTTGTGCTACATAATGGAGACCATTGTATTGAACTTGAGTTATTGATTACTAATAACTCCTAAAGGTTTTTTTAAATGAAAACTAAATATCACTAATTTACAATCGGAGAACACAAAAAAAAAAAATTGCCGGGAATAAGCTTCGGTCGTCATCATTTATCTCAAGAAAGAAAAGATGCCGCGTGATAAAAGGAAAAAAAGAAGAAGCAATTATTCCCTTCTAATAGTAAGATGTGAGAATGCTCGGCAAGCTAGTCAGCCATAGGGTTGTCAACTTTAAGGGTATAGTTGGTCACAACCTGCCAATATGTACAAATGAGTAATCTCGCTTCATCTACGCGGACCCTAAATTGATGTTCGTAATCATAGTCCATATTCAGCAAATTGACATCCTCAATGTAATCAGAAAAAACGAAAATACGTCTAAAAGTTTTAATGATGACAACTTTAAGGTCTTATAACATTGATTTTAAATAAACAAAATTAAAATCGTCGTTAATTTTTAGGTATACCTTTGGTTAAAATTTTAAAGCCTCTTCATGTTTAAAATGTTACATCAGGCTCCTTTAACTGAGGAGTACAAGCTTTTCTTTTTAATTATTAATATAATTTATGATTTTTTAAGTTTGTCTTTGGTCCCTCAATTTTGAAACCATAGGCTTAAGTCCTTCCAGGTACAAAATAGTCTAAGTATTTATTGAATTATAAGAATCAATGTTTTAAATAGAAAGAAACTTGATGGACTAAAACCTATGGTTTGAAGCTTGAGAGACCAAAACCAAAATGAGGACAAATTTAAGAGACCCAAAATTATATTAATCCTTTTTTTCCTCCAAAGTTTATGTTATTGTAATTATCATTTAATAAATAAATTTTACTTACTTATTATTTTAAATTTTTTTAATTTTATTTATCATTTCAGTCTAACTATAAAATAATGTATTTTTTGCTGTATTGTAACGTTTATCTTTTCAATTTCTTTTATAAAATATTGTACATTTATAGCCCTTTCCTTAAAGTTTTTAAGATAGTGTTTGAAAATCATGTTAAAAATCTTGTGGATACCAATCATCTATATAATCTATAAACTTTGGAGCTATTTTGTGATTGGTCCATGCGGTCCTCATCTATTGATCCATGTCATTTAATTATTGATGCATGTATTTGTCTTCTGCTTCTATTATTTATTGGTTCACCGAGTATTAGCCGTCCACATGTGCTTCGCTTGTGTGTCTCATGGGATCAAGCAAGAGCATCCAAAACGTATCGAATTCCTCGTAAACCAAGAAAAAATGTATCCACACGGTTCTTCAACTTCTGCCCTTTTTTCAATGGATCGATTTCTGCAATGGTTCTTCGATTTTTGCCCTTTCTTTTCATATCATAATTCCCTCATGCTAATCTTTGGAGATTGATGGCGCAGGAATAGGTATTCTCTGTCCGCTCTTTCTCTGATTTCACTTTATGGTCTCTTCCCCATTGTTTCTCTTTCTTATTTGAAGTCTTCTCGTCTTTGATCTCTTTGGCTCAACCTTCAACAGTTCAATTGGCTCACTCGAATTGATTTTTTAGGAACTCGAGATTATGGCAGTGTTGCTGATTATGAGGCTCTGCTGCAGCTCTTGGCAGAACGTGGCTTTTTCTCCGCTTTGATAACCCTTTTTATTCCATTATTTTTCTGCTTCTTTCACTTTTCTTGTCTATTCAATACTTTGTTTTCTCTTGCCAGGTGTTACAGATGCTTCTTGGTGTTCAATCTAGACAACCCGATTGTAAATAGTGGAAGTTTGTTTAATTCTTTTTGGTGAGTTATCTGGGTACATAATGAGATAATTTTTACTATTTGTTATGGAAGACTCTTCTTTGCGGTTCTTCGAGAGTTGACCTATCCCAATCATGACAGTGATCTTTTTGTTTCCACATTTTGTTCCTTGTATTGATTTCCCCATCTTACAGGCCCTCTCTCAATATTTTACTTCACGTATTTGGGCTTTGTTTGGATTAACAATTAGAAAAATACCATATTATCAATTTAACTTTTACTCAATTAAATTGAGTAAAATTTAAATTGGATGATATAAATTGTGTTTGGACAAAATTTTATAAAAGTTAGTTTGTAAAAGTTAGAATAGATAGAATGTTGTTTGGATTATAATTGAATAAAAAGAAGTTAAGTTTGTATAATTACCAAAATGGGTATGAATTTTATTAGATAATAAAAAATAATAAAGAAATAAATTTACATAATACTCCTCCGGTCCTTAATATAAGACCCATTTAACTAATTTGATTAGATTAAGGAAGTTAGGTAAGTTAGTTAATTATAAGAAAAGTGACACATTTTTCCTAAAACACCATATTATAATCATCTTTTTTAATACCCCCTCCCTCTTTTACTTGATTATGGTTGAAGGAGTATTCATAGGGG